AGTGTGCCGCGGAACACCGGTTGAGAAACACTGGTATAAGTAATTGTTTATTGCATTTTAATAATGACTCCCTGACTGTGGAATGCTCTCTCCAGAAAGGCTCACCTGGCAACATCATTATTTGTCTTTAGGCACCAGGAAAAACCATTCATCTTTACCCAGGCACCTGGCCTTTAAATAATCTGTGGCCTGTTAAACCAGGGAGAGGGGGGACTGCTATTATGTTTCTTTTAGTATTATGCTGTCTGTTGTTATGCTTTTTATTGAGTTTTAATAATGCTTTTATTATTGATGTTCTGTAAAATGTGTTCTTAATGCTGTACACCGCCCTAGGATCTTTTGATAATGGGGAGTATATAAATCGAAGTAATAATCATGACAACAGGTTACAGGGGAATAAATGGAATAAAAATTGATTTAAAAATTGTAAGCTGTCACAATTGCCAGTATAGAAGTATGTGATTTACTGAGTCAATAACAAAACATACTAAGAAGGGAAGGATGTATGGACTATTATTACAAAGGGTTTTACAGTGGACGCTCGGGTTGCGAATGTGATCCATGTGGGAGGCACGTTCGCAACCCACAGCGTTCGCAACCCACAGCGCCGCGTCTGCGCATGCGCGGGTTGCGATTCGGCACCTCTGCGCATGCGCAAAGCGCGATTTAGCACTTCTGCGCATGTGTGAGTGCCAAAACCCAGAAGTAACCCGTTCCAGTACTTCTGGGTTCGGCGCGGTGTGCAATCTGAAAATGCGCAAACTGAAGCCTCTGTAACCCGAGGTATGACTGTATAGTCTAAATTGAAGCAATTTTTATTTCTGAAAATAAGACCTTAATCTGAACAAAATCCAAACACTTGCATAGCTAGCTTGTGGTATGCAGCAATGCTGGGAACTGAACCTGAGAACTTCTGATGTAAAGCAGAAATTCTGCCACTGAGTCATGGCCCAGATTAACAAAGCCATCAAATTCTGGTCAGTCGTTAAAAAGCTCGCCTTTTATGCTCACCAGGTAGCTCTGGAATGCTGGAGACAGGGACTCTGCTACAGAAATAGGAATGAGTCTTCACCCCCAGCGTGTTAACATTCAGCAATTAGATTACAATGAATCCTTACCAAACAAGCTTGCCTCTTCATCTTGCTCCTGTTTGAGCTCCTTGAATGACTGCCTTTCCCAGGCCTCTGGTGGTGGAACCAAACCTGCCTCGGAGTGATTCACAGCCAGTCCCCACACCCAAGGGCCACAGCCCCTGAAATAGCAATCAGAAAAACCATTCAGGACAGGAGAAGATGCTCCCAGACATGCTAGTACTTCCCATCTCCTCCTCAGCTCTAGATTTCTGGGCCCCCAGGCAGGAGACATGGACACCCTGCAGGGGCACAGCCAGGTGGGCTGGCCTGGGATTTATTCCTCTCCTAGGTGGGACACTGTGGCACAAAGCAGAAGAAGCTGGTGCTGCTCTTAGCTCTTGTCACAATAATCTCTCTCCTGCCCTCTTTTGCTAAGCCACTAAAATCAGAGAGGATGGGTGTCTTTTCTGGGACAAGTGATACACTACAGACAACAGGGACGACAGAATTGTTGTCCCATCAAAAATTACAAATGTTAAAGTATCAGCTCTCTCCTGAATCCACATTCCAGGACCCAGCAGTATGACCCTCATCGAACTCCCCTCACCTCTCCTTCCTGTTTCACTGTGTTCTGCTGTAGCAGGAAATTCTCTGCCAGAACCACCGCCTGGGCGCAGGTCTCTGGGCCCTTTTCCCTCACCCAGCTCTGCATTTCCTGGGGCAGGATGGTCAGGAACTGCTCCAGGATCAGCAGCTCCAAGATCTCTTCCTTGGTGTGTCTCTCCGCTCTCAGCCACTGGCGGCAAAGTTCCCTCAGCCGGCCGTAAACGCCTCTGGGCCCCTCCACTTCCTGGTAGCAGAACTGCCTGAAGTGCTGGCGCTGCTTCTCCCTCAAAGTGGACTCTCCTTGCAAGATGGCCGCCTTCACCTTCCCGTAGTCTCCCCTGTCCTGGGCACTGAGGCTGTTGAAGGCCTGCTGAGGCCTCTCCGCTGAGGGCTGGCAAGAGGAGGGTCACCCACTTGTCCAGAGGCCACCGGCAGGCTGAGGCTACTTGCTCAAAGGAGGCCAGGAAGGCCTTAGCATCTTCCCATGGGGAGGGGCCCCTCTGATACCTGATGATTCCCCCATCCTGAGTGAGGGGCCTGCAACGTCTTGAGGAACTCCTGCCGCTGGGCTTCCCAGCATTCCTGAAGCTCCTTCTTCTGGTTCATGTTTCACCTGCCGTGGATAGACCGTAGCTTGTGATTCTCCAACCCCCTTGATGCATACAAGGTGTGGGGCTTTTGTTCCCCCCAGATCTGCCCACAATTTGACGTTGGGGGTGTTGTGCTCTCCCTTCTGCAATCCTGGGGCCTTTGCTGCCCCTTCATCCACAGACATGTTCACCTCCACTCTCAAGGTCTCCATTGAACTGTTCAGATGTGAGGAGGCGTTCCCAGCCTCTGGTGGGCTTTCTTCATCTAAAGTCACTCCTCAAGGTCCATGAATCTCTCTGTAAATGAGTCCTCCAGGAAAGCATAGAAACTGAAGGTGTTGCAGACAGGTGTTTCTGCTAAAGGGGTTTTTGAGGGAGGTAGGAGGAAGAGAGAAACAGATGCACAAGAGAATATCCTTTTTGCAAGTTGCCTTGCATTCACCTTTCTGAGAACAGCGACTAATTGTTAATTATAATAATGTTCAGAAATGAGCTTTCCACCTCACTCAGAACAATCAATTTTAATGCAGCCACAGTCCAGACATTCCTGGTCTCTAGAATTGCAAATTCCAGGGAATTGCCAGCAGCGAGTCTTTTCATGTGGTGATGGATAGGCTCAGGATTCTTTTTCACACTTGGCTCCAGTGAGTGGGTCTTGGGGAATCTAGTGGGGGGAAACAAAGTAGGTCACATAAGCCTCAAGCTAATCCACCTCTGCTCTAATAGCAACCTCCCAAAGTATATAACTGTGTCACCTCTCAACTTTTCCACAATCACTCCTTTGGGTATGTTTGCTTTATTATTTGTTTTAAGATTTGGAAGAGAGGATAAACTGGGAAGTGCAGGGCAGCTCAATGGTATATGCAGAAGGTCCCAGGTTCCGTCCCCAGGTACTGCTGGGAGAGGTCTTTTGTCTGAAACCCTGGAGAGCTGCTGCCAGTCAGTGTGGACTATACTGAGATAGTAGGGGCAATTTTCTGGACTCTATAAAATGCAGAGCCCTGTGTTCTTCAGCTTGGTGGTGTGGGGATCAGCTTACATGCATAAGGTCCCAAGTACAACCTCTGACATCCCCAGGTAGGGCTGCCTGAGAGCATGGACAGCTGCTGCCAGTCAGTGTGGACAACACAAAGGTAGATGGACCAACGTTTCTAAGAGCAGGCTGTAGCTCAACGGTAGAGCATCTGCTTTCATGCAATCTCAGGAGTCTCCAGGCAGGGCAGAGAAAGCTGCTGTCTGAACCTCTGGAGACCCACTGGAAAGTAGACAATATTGGGTTTCCTCAGCCCTGCCTCGGTCCACCCGGCCCCTCCTGCAGTTTTATTCCCTCCCTGATCTTGCTGCCACTGCCTCGCTCCTTCTTAACAATGTCCCCCTTTAAATTCACCTTTCCCTGCAGACTTGACAGCTGCACTTATCCTCCTGGCTGAAGAAATCTGCTCCTTGCAGCTCCCCTGTGTCTTCCTCCAAGCTTTAAAAAGAGAAGTAATTCAAAAGGCAGTTTGCCACCAGCGGGGGAGGGGTGTCAAGTGGGGGTTGAGTGATGTGGGTGGTTGGGCAGGAAGTGAATTCTCAGATACTGTAATCTATTCACTGCAAAAAAAAAAAAAAAAAATGCACTGGGGAAAACCCAAGAGTTCCACCCAATCTTCATTTCAGGTTCCCAAGCAGAGCCCTCAATTTGAAGGTGGCTAAAAAGGGTTGAATTTCTGCCTGTCATTCGCCGTCGGGTGAACGCGTTATCCCCACACATCCCAGTATGTTTTGCACAATTTCCTTATTGTAAAAATATCTGCCGGGGGTGAGTAGGATTGTTGCTGAACAGCGCCAAATCCAAATTTAATTGTGCAACGTGAATTTGCAGGTGTGTAATTGAATTTCCCCCTCCACACACTGCAAAATATTCGCAGTCTGGAAACAGCTTCGGGTGAAGAAGCAGTGAGTGCTCAATGGGCATCTGCAGGGATTTTGGAGGGTGGAGGCAGTACTGAAAAGGGGAAGCCGGCCAATTTCTCATCCCACAAAATGAGACAGTGCCCGTACATTTTGCCTCGTATCTCAGGTTCCACAATTGCTAGAAACTTGATTTTATTTTGCGTGTGTTTAGGGAGCGAGATGATTTCAAAGCCAAAGCGCCAGAGACACGCTCTTCGCACGGGTTCATATGCAATCGGAATTGCCACTTGAACAACATGAAAACTGTAGCCCTTGGTGTTTTAAACTACATTCCCGCGACTCTGTATCGTGGTCTCTCCAGAAATCGGAAAGGAACTCGGTGGTTTTAACCTTTACGTACGCGTGTCTGTGTATCCCTAAAATGGAAGGGTGGTGGGATCTAAACTCAATAAGGCAATACTTTGAGGTGGGGGCTCTTCCACCACCTTCAATCCTCCTGGGGTTGATGTGACTCCTCTCCCACTTTCTGGGACTCTTTGCAGGCGGCGACCCCCCCTAGTGGAACCTAGGCGAATGGCATCCCAATACACACACGCACGCGCACCGGCACCTGCCATGGAGACGCGCTTTCCCCCTTGAATCGTGGGCACCGTCTAGTGTCGGAGGAGAGAGCTCTGTCGCTTTAACCCTTCAGGCTCTCAATAGCCTTTAGCTAGACATTGGCAACCGGGGGAGAAGAAGGGGAAGCACGCCCAGAGACAGAAGCGGGAGGAAGGCTCGCGGGAAGGGGGGGAGGGAGGCAAAGAAGACGAGCTTCGTTGCAGCGCCCTCGATCTTATGATTTTACAGAAATGCTTGGATTGCACCCCGCTTTATTTATATTCCCTTTTCCCCTTGGAGAAAAATCAGTTTGCAACGTTGGTTTCCACGATCTACGGCGAGGGCTGACATCGCGCTGCAGCCGAAACCTCCGGCCTTTCCATTGCTGCTTTTCCGCCTTGGAAGTTTGACTTTGCGAATTGCAAAATGCCCAAAAATTCCAGAATTCGTCATGGATTGACTTCGCCACGGCATTTTACGACCCTTTTCTTCTTCTTCCGAGTTCTCTCTCTCTCTTTTTTTTAGTTGTGTTTTTAAATCTACTCGTAGGCCGCTTTCAGCCATTCCGGCAGGGTGCAAAACAATCCGCTTCTTCTTCTTATATTAACATTTCTGCAGGCTTTCTGCCCGCCCCTGCCCGCGATGCTTGCTTTGAAGCGCTTTGGGCCATTTTGAGCCGTTTTGGAGAAGCTTGTGCAAGTCGTCGCAAAAAACTGGAAGGGGAATCATTGAATTGCAATTTTGAAAGGGACCCCCTAGGGTCATCCAGTCCAACCCCTGACAATGCAGGCATCTTTTGCCCACTGTGGGACTTGAACCCACAACCCTGAGATCAAGCACTTCCTGCTCTACTGACCGAGCTACCCAGCACAGCTGCCCTCGATTCCGTCATCACCATCCAAATAAACGATTGCGCGAATTCTCGTGCGAATGGAGAACCTGGAGGCTATCGTGCTGGTGATCCTAGCCACGCACAACCTGGTGCGCCTCCACCTGCACCGGGGCGGCGTGGCTGCCCGCGCCCGGCGGACGATGCGCCGCGTGATGGCCAACCATGTCTCGCTGCTGCACCAGCTGCTGCCCGACGCGTGTCCGGACAGTGAGGCGCGCCTGGTGGCCGAGGAGCTCCACGCCGGGCCGCACCGCTTCTGGTCCCGCCAGGTCAGCCAGGACTGGTGGGAGCGCGTGGTGCTGGAGACGTGGCAGCCCAGCCAGTGGCTGCAGGGCTTCCGCATGACCAAGGACACCTTCCTGGCGCTGTGTGAGGAGCTGCGGCCGGAGCTGCAGCGCCAGACCACCACCATGCGGGCGCCGCTGAGCGTGGAGAAGCGCGTGGGCATCGCCCTCTGGAAGCTGGCCACCACCGAATGCTATCGCTCCGTGGCCGCGCACTTCGGCGTGGGGCGCTCCACCGTCGGAGAGGTCTTCATCGAAGTGTGCCTGGCCATCGAGAAGCTGCTCTTCAGGAAGGTGGTGGCCCTCGAGGACCCCAAAGAGGTGATGGTATTTTTATTTATTTTATGTACTTGCATTCCCCCCCTTTGTTACTACTACAATGGTGCCTCGCAATACGAAATTAATCCGTTCCGAGAGTCTCTTCGTCTTGCGGTTTTTTCGTCTTGCGAAGCACGGCAATTAGCGGCTTAGCGGCTATTAACGGCTTAGCGGCTTTAAGAAAAAGGAAACGAACTCGCAAGATGTTTCGTCTTGCGAAGCAAGCCCATAGGGAAATTCGTCTTGCGGAACGACTCAAAAAACGGAAAACCCTTTCGTCTAGCGAGTTTTTTGTCTTGCGAGGCATTCGTCTTGTGGGGCACCACTGTACTACTACAGTCGTACCTTGGGTTACATACACTTCAGGATACAGACTCAGCTAACCCAGAAATACAGTGGTGCCTCGCAAGACGAAAAACTCACTAGACGAAAGGGTTTTCCGTTTTTTGAGTCATTCCGCAAGACGAATTTCCCTATGGGCTTGCGAGTTCTTGTGAGTTTGTTTCCTTTTTCTTAAAGCCGCTAAGCCACTAATAGCCACTAAGCCGCTAATAGCCGTGCTTCGCGAGATGAAAAAACCACAAGACGAAGAGACTCGCAGAACGGATTAATTTTATCTTGCGAGGCACCACTGTAGTACCTCGGGTTAAGAACTTTGCTTCAGGATGAGAACAGAAATTGCGTGGCGGCGGCAGCGGGAGCCCCCATTAGCTAAAGTAGTGCTTCAGGTTAAGAACAGTTTCAGGTTAAGAACGAACCTCCGGAATGAATTAAGTACTTAACCTGAGGTACCGCTGTACTTTTGTTTGTTTGTTTGCTTGCTTGCTTGCTTGTTGGTGTGTGAGAATAATTTTTAAACTAAATTTTCTGTTTTACAATTTAAAATACTCATGTTACACCCTTAAGATAATCAATGACTTCCTTTCCTCTCTTTCCATGGTTCACTTTACATATCATAAATCCCAGCATGTTTTACAAAAACTATACCAGTCAGTATTCCATTATTGCACCTATCAAAACTTATTTACACTTTTGAATTTTTCTTCAGACCTCCTTTCCTCCCTCCCTCCATGGGTTCCATTCTAAATATTTTTTCTTTTTCCTGCATCTTTTATCATTATCCATCTATTATATAATCACAGTAACCAAAGTTCATTTCACTTTACAAGTGTCATTGTATTCCTGCCAATGATTTCAACTGTCTACACTTGTCTTTCAAGTATATTAAAAAGTTATTCCAATCTTTTAAGAATACTTGGTCTTCCTGGTTTCTGATCTTTCCCGCCAGTCTTGCCATTTCTGCATATTCCATCAGCTTGGTCTGCCACTCTTCTCTGGTTGGTACTTCTCTTTCTTTCCATCTCTGGGCTAGAAGCATTCTTGCTGCCATCGTTGCATACGTCTTTTATTTTATTTGGTAGTTCCTCACCTATTATACATAAGAGAAAAGCCACTGGTTTTTTAACAAAAGTTTTCTTAAACATTTTCTTTAACTCATTATATATCATTTCCCAGAAAGCTTTTACCACCCCACAGGACCACCACTGAGCTGTTTGGAACCAGCTCAAATCTGTGCTGAAAATGTAAAAGGAAAGAGGGTACCTTTTATCTACTACGTATTCCTTTTCTGGGACTGAACGATTGATTATATTTCTTATGCCAGTTTTCATCCAGACGACTCCCAAAGCAACCTGATGCCCACTAGATGTTTAAGACTCCAAGTCCCATCATTCCAAGTTGTGACCGGGGCCGATGGGAGCTGTAGTACAAAACACCTGGCTAGCACCTGTTTAAGGAAGCCTGGCCTGGATGATGATGGGACGATCGGCTTTCTAATTCTTCCATCTTTTTGTTTTGAAAGGTCATGGCAGGATTTGAGGAAATGGGGTTTCCCAGCTGTGTGGGGGTCATGGACAGGACCCACATCCCCATCATCTGCACTGTCCCGAAAGGGGACCAACATCAGCCAAAAGGGGTTCTTCCCTATGTCAATGCAAGGCACGGTGGACCACAAGGGCCGCTTCATTGACATCGAACTCAGCTGGTGCGGTAAAGATAAGGACGCCTCCTTCTTCCGAAACCTAGCCCTGTGTGAGGCGATGGACCAAGGGTCGTTCGTACCAGGGACTCATTCAATGACCATTGGCAACGTGGAGATCCCCCCGCTCATCTTGGCCGACGCGTCCTACCCCTTGAAGAAGTGGCTCATGAAGCCCTTCACTGGTAACCTCAGCCCCCGCCAAGAACATTTCAACTCCCGCCTAAGGGACTGCAAGAAGGTGGCCGAAGAGGCCTTTGGGCGGCTGAAGGGACGGTGGAGGTGCCTGGCCACCCGCTTGGAGGTGGCGGAAGAGAACATTATCCCCGTGGTGGTGGGGTCCGTCGTGCTCCACAATATTTGCGAGAATCGTGGACATGCTTTGGTGGACGGGCCTTGGGCCCAAGACGGCGTGTGGGACCAGGCCCCTGAGGGACACTTGAGGCTCCCAACGTCCCCAGAGGATGCACGGGATGGGAGCCTGGTGAGGGAAGCTCTGGCAAGCTACTTCATGAGCAATTCCTAACTCCTCATGGAGCCCTTGGATGAAAGAAAAACAGAAAAGTTTCGAAATGCACACTTCAGTTTAATTCAAAACAATCTTTGTTCCGAGAAGCTGGGGATCTACCACAGAAAGCTCCAGTAAACCGTCTTCCGAAACCTTGTTGTGAGGTGACTTTTGCCCCTACACCGTGTGATGCTTCTGATCAGGTCCTGAGGTAAAATTACCTCATAACACAGCCTATATACCGCATTTTTCGCTCTATAAGACGCACCAGGCCATAAGACGCACCTAGTTTTTTGGAGGAGGAAAACAGAAAAGAAATATTCTGAATCTCAGAAGCCAGAACAACAAGAGGATCACTGCGCAGCGAAAGCAGTGATCCCTCTTGCTGTTCTGGCTTCTGTGATAGCTGCGCAGCCTGCATTCGCTCCATAAGACGCACACACATTTCCCCTTACTTTTTAGGAGGGAAAAAGTGAGTCTTCTAGAGCAAAAAATACGGTATATGGTGAAGTGGAACTCCATGTCTGTGGTCACCACAACAAACACTTTCACTTTTTGTGTCTCAGTTGGCAAAGCTATGAATTTTATGCAAGTCACTACTCTTGCCCTGTTTTTGTTTTTATTGCTGTCATTTTTATGATCGTTACCTGCTGTGAAACTTTGGGGAATGGAAGTTTATAAGTATTTTTAAAAATAAACAGTAAGAACATTTTTTTTAAGGATTTCCAGCTCCATTATTTGCCAGTGTGTAATGAAGCAGTGGGGAGAGGGCTATTTGTACGGGAGAAGTAGCGGTTAAAAAGCAGGGTGCTTAATCCTTTTCCCTACCACCACCACCACCACTTTTCTAAGGGACCATTTCCTGTTTCCCCCCACTTTACCAGCAAGCCCACCTAGCAACACCCTGGGTGAGGTGGTGTTTGAGCAGGTGTGGGGAACCTTTCGCCCTCCGGATGTTGCTGAACTACAGTTGCCATTGTCCTTGGCCATTGGCCGCACTTGCCGGGGCTGATGGGAGTTGTAGTTCAACAACAACTGGAAGGCCAAAGGTTCCCCACACCTGATTGGACAGTGTTGTGGAGGGAAAGAGGCAGATGGGGTTGGCAGCCCTGCTTTTGCTGCTGAACATGTAGTTCCTGAACTTGGAGATGGGGCAGAAAGGAGGTTGCTAAATCTGAGAACTGAATTTGCTCAGATGTTCCTCATACCTAGGTTATGTTACCAAGGGAGAACACACCCTGAAGTAATAGAATGTGTACATACCACTCCCCCACAAAAGGTACATACTTAAAATATACATAGAAGCCTGAAGCAATCTTAACAACATTACAAAATTTCAAATTTTTCTACCATCATAAAACACACACAAACACAAATATATTGCAACCACGTTTATTTATTTTTGTGTTCACATTAACAGCATGATTCTCTGCAGGTTTACCCAGAAGTCCCAGTGTTCCCTACATGGGATCACAACCTAAGTTTCTCCTAAGGATTTTCCCCAGGAGTGAATACAAGATGTGGAGCAGCTCACTTCCATTTCTTGCCCTCCCAGCTGGAGCCAAGGCTCTGATTCCTTGGTCAGCTCCAGAGAAAAGGTGGGGCTCAGCATCCTCAAATATATAAATTTATTAGTGTGCTGTAATGCTAACCACTTTGAATAGATGGTTATCTGAGGGCAAAGCAGGAGAGGAAAGCTGTGCAGAAGGAAAGGAGCTCCACACAACCAAAGCTTTGGGCAAAGAGCTGTGTCTGGACCAGTCAAAAATCATGCCATGATGGTGGTGTAGCTCCCCTGTAATAAAACATAAAGAAACACTTTACCCCCTCCTTCGTTTTCTTGCTGTCTCTCCTATAAAGCATGCGATTTTTTGTGTTTTTATTTTCTTTTATTTACTTCCATATCTCAGGCTACGGACTTGTGGAAATAATAGTACAGTAAGCTGGTTACATGAAAACGCAAAATCCGTAGAAAATACAGAAAAATCTTAAGGTTGCTTCCACACCGTATATTTAAAGCACATTTTATGCACATGGTTCTCCCCCCCCAAAAAATAGGAGCTGTAGATTACCAATCACAGCTATAATTCCCAGCACCCTTAACAAACTACAGACCCCAGGGTTCTTCAGGGCACTGAAACCTCAGGGGCATCTGGTCCTGCCATGTGAGGAGCAGAGAAGCTGCTGTGTTGTCTTCTAGTTGTGGTTGGACTGCATTTCCCATCAGCCTCAGCTAGCCCAATGGACATGGACATTGGGAAGTGAAGCCCTGCAACCTTGAGGGCACCAGGTCCCCCAAACTTCAACTCAGGGTGTTTGTGTCTCAGCAAGAGAACAGTCTGCCTGTATTGTATTGTATTGCATTGCAGTGGATGCAACTTGAACCCAGTGCAGTATAATAGTTAGAGCCCTAACATGGAGTCCTCACACACACCTGGTTCCTACCAAAGCCTCCTGCCCCTCTGCGCTTTGGTGTTTTGCTTTAAAAAATAATCAGTAATACACAGGGTTGGCGGGGGGAGGTTGCTTGGTTTGGGAGGGAGTTGCCTGTTATTTCAGGGGGTGAATAGTGCCTGTTGTTTTTTTCTTAAGTACCATCAGTGTTGTATTGTTTGTTAACACCCTGGAAACTTTCGAAAATGTACAAAAATGTGCCAAGTAATTGCTGGAGATACAGAGATAATCCAGGAACTTTCTACCACATGTGGTGGTTATATAAGAAAATACAGGTATTCTGGGGGAGTATTCACTCAGAACTGCAAAAAATGCTAAAGATCTCTTTTAATAAAAAAACAGAGGCCTATCTCCTGGGAGTTACAGATTTCGATATTCCGCAAAAAATGAAGGGTATCTTTTTATACGCCACAGCGACAGTAAGAGTTCTTATCGTAGCAAAATGGAAGAGTGTTGAAATTCCCTCTATACATGAATGGATCCAAAAGCTGACAGAATATGCCGAATTAGACAGTCTGCCAGAAAAAAATAAAGAATAAATCAAAACAGGAATTTGTCTCAAAATGGGAGGTTTTCAAAGAATATTTGAAATATAAATACGGTAGTTTAAACTCTGTTGCAGCATTTGAGGAACTTCAGTAATAGCTGCAAGTTAGACATAAGAGTTAAGATATATTAAGAAAAAGTTAAATGATGATAAAAGCGTGTGTTGGCAATAACTAATATGAATTTGAAATAAGGAATAGACGGGAGGTCGTGCCTGTTGTTTTTTTTAATGTGTTTTATTTGTGTCGAGTGTGCTGGTGTTCTGCCTGTTGTATTATTTGTTTACAGCATTTATTTTGGCAACACAAAGGCTCTTCAAGAGCAGCTTGCAAAAATCAGTACTTGCCATCTGAAAAGGCATGGCACAAAAGGAAGAAGAACTGGGAGGGAGAAGAGAGGAAACAAGCTCAAAGACAAGTCTGCAGTGGGTCTGGCTGTATTGCCTTTGCACCTGCATTGCAGGGGGGAGATCATTGCAAAGAGCAGGTGCCAGTCTCGAAGAAGGCCTGTTTCCATGTTGCCACAAGATGGAATTCTGCAGGTTGCAACACATCTATCGGGGCCACCTCCAAAGAGCTTACTTGACTAATGAGTTCTGTGTGGGGCTGCCTCTTAGTCTTCTTCAAAAGTGGCAGTTAGGTGGTAAAGGGGAATGATCTGGCAGGCACATACAATGCGTGATCTGAAATAACTGCACAGGCTGCCAGCTTGTGACTAAGCCAGGTTATAGTTTATATTATTTGTGTATATGGTGCCCTAAACAACCTGGGACCAAGCTACAGTACAGTGGTACCTCGGATTATATACGCTTCAGGTTACATACGCTTCAGGTTACAGACTCCGCTAACCCAGAAATAGTACCTCGGGTTAAGAACTTGGCTTCAGGCTAAGAACAGAAACCGTGCTCCGGCGGCGCGGCAGCAGCGGGAGGCCCCATTAGCTAAAGTGGTGCTTCAGGTTAAGAACAGTTTTCAAGTTAAGAACAGACCTCCAGAACGAATTAAGTACTTAACCCAAGGTACCACCGTATGTGCAGATGGGCTGCAGCTCAGTGGCTAGACAATACTGAGCTAGATAGACCAATTGACACACTTTGAATAATACAGCAGCTTCCTATGTACTGGTATGTGAGAAACCTGCCTGCATGAATCTGACAAGCAGAAAGTGGATAGAGAAAAGTTTTCCTCCCTCTCTCCTAATACTAGAACTTGAAGGTTATCCAGGGAAGAAAATACTTCAAGCAGGACCTGTGGAACTCCTTGCCACAGGAGGCCATGACAACCACCAACTGGGATGGCTTGAAAAGAGGATTAGACAAATTCACAGAGGGCGAGACTGGCTACTAGTCATGATGGCTATGCACAGTCCGAGGCAGTAAATGTTTCTGAATATCAGTTACTAAGAACCATAGGAGGGGAGAAGGCTCTTGGGCTGCGATCCTGCTGGGGGGGTGGTTCCACAGAGATCTGGATCATGGGTGTAGCCAAGCCTTTTGTTAGGGGGGCAGA